TCGATATAACAAATTAAATGTTATTGGATTTCAAGATTTTCTAATATTTTTCAAATATATATTCGATCAAACTATTCGAATATTAAAATATTACTCCAAGTTTTTCAAATGTCAAATTCAATCGTTACTCAAGTGTAAAAGTGTGTTTTAATCTTTTAAACAATTTTACAAAGTATTTCGAGCCTTTAATCGAGCCAAAAATATTTTCTTAATAAATCTTAAACTGAAAAACCAGATTGCCCAGAGGGTATCGATACCCCCCAAGAAGGTACCGATACTCTCATATAAGATTTGGCTCCGAGAAATAACATATTGCTCGGAGGGTACCGATACCCCCCAAGAGGGTACTGATACCCCCATTTAAGATTTGGCTCCGAGAAATAACAGATTGCTTGGAGGGTACCGATACCCCCAGGAGGTACCGATACCCCCATCTCATAACGGTCGAAATATTTGAATTTTACACAGCAGGGTACTGATACCCTATGCAGAGGTACCGATACCCCCCAACGCTCCAAGCTATTTTATTAATTATTTTCACACAATAACGGCTCTATTAACTCCACTAATGACCCCCAACGTTCAGAAATGATCTAAGGAGTATTTAAACAAGCTTAGAAGCCATTGATCAACAACAATTATCAAGAATCAAGAGAGAATCAATGAGAAAGCATCAAACCTCAAGTTTGAGCATTTTCAAGCCTATTCCATTCAATATTCATTTTTGCTTTCAATAACACTTATTGTGCTCAATTGTATTATTCTTGAGTGTTCTTTCTTTGTTCTAGAATTGTACAAACATCTTTCCTTGTGAGGATTTTCTTGTAAGTTTGCAAAATTTGTATTGTTCTCTTTGGGAGAGAGTATTCTCAAGAATTTGAGGTATAATTCTTGAGAGATTTGTAAGGTTACTCTTTGTACTCAAAAGAAAGATAAATTTGTGAATTTGTGGAAAATCCTTAGTGTGGATAGCTAAGGTAGTGGACGTAGACTTTGGTTGAGAAAGTCGAACCACTCTAAATTGCTGTGCAAATATTTTCAATTTTCTACAAAAGCTTCCACCAAAATTTTTATTGTCAATTCACCCCCTCTTGGCATATTCCATCGATCGATTAACTCAACAATCTTTTTGACCTTTAGGGGTACTTTATAATCGATCGAATGTAAGTAATTTGGATCGAATTTTACTTTTAATTTAACTTTCAATTTTCGTAATTAAGAAAACGGAAAATTTAATTAGTACGAAAAGGGCAATACAAGAGTGTTAATTATTCCTTGACTATAACCAACTCTCGAACCCGACATATTTTTGGTAAGACGCAGATCAAGTAAGAGAAATTAACTGAGGTGTCCGATCAACCTAAACTTTTTTAAAAAATAAATGATCGGTGAAGGTTTTATTATGTTTATCTAAGTCAAAGCCCAATTTCTAGCTCATCCGAAAGACGATTGCGACACATAATTTTTGTTATTGAGAGCGTTGAGGCCAATATTCCTACCCTGCAACTTAAGAATGACCGTCCTAGTCATAGTTGATTCCATGAGCTTATATGCACGATCTGAGAATTGGATGGCAGGCAACTCGTAGCGAGTACCAGTGATAATATCGTCATCGGATATGTCGAATTCTTCCTCCATACCACCTTGTGCTCCTACTGAATTTGCTTTATCCTGGCCCTTTCCTGACAATATCACTGCATAGGAAGGCGTAGGTTGAGATGGTTCCACAACTTCCATCACTGTGTCTTGGATAGGGTTGTTTGAAGAGAACTTTCTTGGTACCCTAGAAATCGTCGGAGAGACGTTGGGGGTGGCCGAGGCATCACTTGCATCGTTCGGAGATTCGGAGCATTCCATCGCTTTTTTTTGTTGTTTGTGTATTTTTGTAACTTAGTAAAAGTGCGCTTTGTTAATTGTGCCTTTCCAAGATCATGCCACATAAATGAAAACATATCTAATCAATTATGCGTTTTCAAGATTTGGATGACACGTGTATAAAAACATATCCAATCAAATGCATAATTTTTTTTATAAAAGATGATAATTTTATTAAAATTAAAAAATATTTTAATTACAATAAAGGTTTATAATCACATTAGTAAATTAAATAAATAATAAAGATTTTTTTCAATATGAGAAAATTAACCACTTTAAGACCACAAGGATCATACAAGGAACAATGTTAAAAAAACCTAATCCAATAAACTCATATAAAAGGTAAATATGAACATATCTTCTCGCATCATTAAACGAACAACAAAAGGGTATAAAACTATTGAAAATCATTAACAAATCGCAAATCAGAATTGAACGACGTGAAACTAATATCCACGAACGTAAATCGCATACTTAAATCATATCTGAGGGTCTAATACATAGAAGATCAACATGATAATAAATAAAGCGTCATCTTGATCAGTCGTGACGATGTTAAATCCAACTATGAAAAAAATAATAAACGAAAATAACAATCAAATAATAAAAAATATGCCATAAAAATAAAAAAAACATGTCATAACGGAGAAGAAAATGTATCATAAAGATAATATTATTAAAAGTAAACCGAGGCTAATGTCGTTATCGATCATAAAGACAAAAAAAAAAAAAAACTATTGATGTCTAAAGAAAAGGAGAAAAAATAGTACAAATCCTAAATGAAGTTAAATGCACAAGTTTTTTTAGATTTTAGTCAAAGAGTGCCATTTCATAAATAATTGAAGACATGTATTATTTTATTACATATATTGAATAGTTTTGATGAGATTATAATATTTATCAATTCAGATTTTTTTTAATTAACAACGTATATATTAGAGATGTAGCTGTTTAAACTTAACATTTTTAAGAAAGATAATATTCTTTTTTACGATTGAGGTATATTGATACCATTTTAATATTTAATCTTTAAAAATGATATATTTTGGTAAAAAAAATTCATAGGCATACCAAGACGCACGCCTTGACAATAATGACTAATTTTCGAATTGAACCAATTTGATATTTTGCATTTTATAATAAAATTAAGATTTTGGTTGATTATTTTGGATTCAGTTAACTGGAAGAGGGGAAAAAATAAGTGTGGATTTTTTTTGAATATATTTGGTGAAAATAAAAATTAAAAAGAAAATGACAAGGATGATTTTCTTTTTCATTTTTGAGTACGCTAATAAATCATTTTAAATTATAATGATAAGACGAAAAAATATGACAGAAATATAAATTTAAAATTATATATTTTCAAAAACATTATTTTTCGTTTAGTTTTTCAACTCTGTCAAATGAAAAATAAAAAAACTATTTTTATATTTATTTTTATTATAAGCACACTAATAAAAAATTATTTATCTACTTATTTAATCTTCCGTCTTACAAATTATATTTCCGGTAAACCAAACAAAAGCCTAAAACTGAAACATATATAATTCAGACGAACTTGAACCCCAAAAATTATAATGGGGTCCCTTTCGGCCCTATTAAATGCTTTATTATTCCCCAAAAATTATATTATCTATTCAAAGTTTCTCGAATCATTTGATAATACATTTTATATTATGTAATTTGATCGTTATTTTTTTTAGTAATTTAGAGTGATTACAAGAAATTATTTATTCAAAATTTTTTCAATCATTCACAATGTATATATACTCTACAGACGTAACTGTTTGACCGTATACCTCTAGAGAACATCACTTCCCTTTTACCACCGATATCATTTAATAAATTCAATTTTAAAATTTAAAATTTAAGATTTATAGATCACGTCTCATACTAACTCTTCGATTTCGCCTATTCGTTACGTTATCTATTTATGACAATTCACAATTTTTTATATTATAGTTTCTTTTTGTTTGTGTTTATCTGTGTATAAAATAATATGGATTTTATATATAACTTTTATGTTAGTATTTTTTATGCATGTTTTGACATGTTTGTGTATGTTTTCTATGTCATGTTTAAATTCATTTCATAATTTGCTTGACTTGTCATTGTAATTAAATTTTATTTCTAAGTTCATTTATTAAAAAATATATAATCATATGAAACATAATATATATTAATACAAACATTATTTTCAAATAAACATCTAATAAGATTTAGTAATTTTTGAATTTTTTTAAATATTTTTTATGAATTTGCTTGAAATTTTTATTATTTTATTCTCATATACTTTTTTTTTCTCATTTACTTTCATGTAATATCATTTTATTTAATTCATTACTGTAGTTGTATTTTCAATTAAAATAGTCATTTAACCTAATCATAACGCTTTATGTATCATAAAAAAACTAAAAAAATATATAAAATCTTTAAAAGAATCTCATAAAAATATTTAAAACATTAAAAAATCCAATAAAGAATTAAAAAAATAAAAAATAAAAATGAAATATAAAATTTTAATTTTTTTTTTGAAAAATAAAATTTAAAAATTATATATATATATATATATATTCTAAAAAATACAATTTATTTGTTTTTAAAGGATTTTAATATTATTTCCATCACATATGACAACCACGTTGAGTCAAATTTTTAATGAAATATCATTATGATAACAGATAAGATAAAATGATATGGCAATAAACATTTAAACATTATTACAAATGTCATACTATAACACAAAACCTCTAAAGAATAACAATCATTCTTTAATCATTTATGTCGTTTTGTTCATGCAATGAGATATTAAGTTTAAATATTATTTATAATACATTTGTATTATGAAACTTACAAATAAAAATCATGTAAATTTATATTATGTTATACTAAAATTTTATAATGTAATAATTTTATAATTAACTGAAAATATAAAAAATAAAACCCAACTAATAGAAACACGCATAATGCAAGTTAAAAAAAACTAGCCGTTGCCACTCCCCGTGATAAACCCTAAAAATTCGAAAAAAAGTAGCCGTTGCCGTTCTCCAATAATAAAACCTAGGCATTCCTTCGAATCAGATTAAAAAATTACTCGAAATCCCTACAACTCCTCTTATCTTTTCGGGACCAATATATAAACTCCTTCCATTCCTCTAAAAATCCCCAATTAGCTCTTGCTCGAACATCTCCAGCTACTCTCGCATCGCATTTCTCTAATTGCCCTTTTGTATACAGCGATTTTCGTTTTATTTTGTTTTTGTTTATCGATTTTTTGCTATTATATTTTGATTTGAATTTTGCAGGTTATGGGTTATCATAGTACATAATATTTTGGAATTTACTTAACTATTTATTGCAGGATTTTGAGTAGTTTATTGCTTTTTGTTTCTCTGTTGTTATATATATATCTGGTTTTTTGGGATACTTGATATTATGGATGCAGGATCATTGAATTCTTTTTCAAACGTGAACGGTCAATCTAAATGGCCACTTCAAGAACAGCTTCTCCTCAGAAGAAATAATACTAAAGAAAATGTAAATATATCGACTTATTATACATTATTTTATCTGATTTTCGTGATTGCAAATCTGGGGTTTTCTTGTTCTTGGTTTCTTGATTTTTCAACTTTGTAGATTGTAGAACTAATTATGTTTTTCTTGGTACTATTCGATTTTAGTGATTGCAAATCTGGGTTTTTTTGTTCTTGATTTCTTGATGTTTCAACTTTTTAATGATACTCAGAGTATTTATATTTTTCTTGGTATTATTTGATTTTAGTGATTGCAAATATGGGCTTTTCTTGTTCTTGAATTCTTTAATTTTTTAACTCTGTTGTGAAATTCAAAGTAATTATGTTCTTCTTGTTATTATCAGATGGATAGTTTCATACCGAACCGTTCAGCAATGGACTTTGATTATGCTCATTACATGCTGACCGAAGGTAGGAAGACCAAAGAGGATCAAACACCTTGCTCATCACCCGCCAAGGAGGCCTACAGGAAGTTGCTGGCCGAGACCTTGAACATGAACCGGACCCGAATCTTGGCTTTCAAGAACAAGCCACCGACGCCGGTCGAACACTTCCCTTCTGGTAACTCGATCGCTTCGGCTCATCCTGCCAAATCCGCAAAGCTTAGAAGACACATTCCCCAGGTAACTAGAGCATGATAAGCATAATTTGACTAGCTCTGGGAATTTCGGTTTAACAGAAACTGATATGATGTGATGATCAATTTCCATACTTCAGAGCTCCGAGAGAACGTTGGATGCACCAGATCTTGTCGATGATTTTTACCTCAACTTATTGGATTGGGGTAGCGGCAATGTTCTTGCAATAGCACTTGCTAACACTGTGTATTTGTGGGATGCTTCAGATAGTTCTACCTCAGAACTTGTCACTGTTGATGATGAAAACGGTCCAATAACAAGTGTGAGTTGGGCTCCTGATGGTCGGCATATCGCCATCGGCTTGAACAATTCTGAAGTACAACTATGGGATTCGACTTCTAATAGACAGGTTTCGATGTTATAGACATTGCTGGTTCTTTTTTTTTCGTTCTTTCGATCACTTATTACATCATTTACGTTTGATGCTGCAGCTTCGTACCATGAGAGGTTGTCACAGGTCAAGAGTGGGTTCGATGGCATGGAACAGTCACATTCTCACAACAGGAGGAATGGATGGTCAGATTGTTAACAATGATGTGAGAATCAGATCCCATGTTGTCGAAACCTATAGAGGACACCAGCAAGAGGTTTGTGGTCTGAAATGGTCGGCTTCCGGACAACAACTAGCGAGCGGAGGCAATGATAATCTTGTACACATATGGGATAGGTCCATGGCATCATCAAATTCACCAACACAATGGCTACACAGATTAGAGGACCATACCTCAGCCGTCAAGGCCCTTGCCTGGTGCTCTTTCCAGAGCAATTTGCTGGCCACCGGTGGAGGCGGCGGCGATCGAACCATAAAGTTTTGGAACACGCATACGGGCGCATGCTTGAATTCGGTCGATACGGGCTCTCAGGTGTGCTCTTTGCTGTGGAGTAAGAACGAGAGGGAGCTTTTGAGTTCTCATGGTTTTACTCAGAATCAATTAACACTTTGGAAGTATCCATCGATGGTGAAGATGACGGAGCTAACTGGTCATACGTCAAGAGTACTTTACATGGCTCAAAGCCCCGATGGCTGCACAGTGGCATCGGCTGCAGGGGATGAGACACTGAGATTTTGGAATGTTTTTGGGGCACCAGAAGTGGCTAAAGCTGCTCCAAAAGCCAACAATGAACCATTCTCTCAGTTGAATCGTATCCGGTGATAAAAGGAAAAGAGAGATAACACTGGGATGGATTCTTTGATTTTGTAAACTTTTTCTTTTCTGATCCATCCCACAATTATGTACAAAGTTCATTCCATTGTATATTTTCAACTTCTTAGTGTACCTGTTCATCTTCTATGAAATTGATATTATAAAGGTAATTTTTTTTAATTAGAATTACTCGAAGTTCAATTCAGCCGGTTCATTTAATGATACAAAAGCTAAATTAAGCTGCAAAATACCATCGTATTTGTAAGGTCAAAATTATGTCAAGTTAAATAGTTAATGCTTCATTTTATTGGATTTCGGTTGTCGCCTTAAATCGATAGAATTAGGGGCTCTAAAATGAATCTAAACAAAAACGTTTGGGGCTAAGGCCTCTATTTAAGGAACGAGCTCACGTTCAAGCTCAAAGGCCCGCCTGATATTTGGAAAGTTTTAGGTCCGGAAAATGAACTTAGACAAATGATAAGCATGTTTCAAATAGAAAGTCTTTTTTATAGACAAAAATATAAGACGTTTAGTTTTGGATAATTGTTATTTCTAAAAATATCGGATTTAAACACTACTTGTATAAAGGTGGATCCATTTGTTTTTTAGTTCTATAATATATTCTATTATTTTTATGCATTATGTTATTTATATCATAGAAACTTTCAAAAAAATCTCACATAAGAAATAAATCTTTAATATTATACCTAAAATGAAATATTAATGGGTTTAGATCAAATTTAAAGTTCATATTTCATATGGTGATGATTTTTTTTTATAATTTTAGGGTAAATATAAGGTGATATTTGTTCAAAGACTCTCAATTATTTTACAATAAACATTTATATTTTTGCATATGCGATGCTCGACTCCAAAATTTCTAAGAATAACAATATTTTTTCAATCATTGAAATTACTTGATTCGTGCATACGATGAAGAATTTAAATAAATAGATATATGTGTTTAAGGGAATTTCTATGAAACGCTAGACTAATATAAGACAAAAAACGGCACAAACGAAAATTTGAAAAAAATTCTTAACAAAATAGGTTTAGCGGTACTGTAAATGTTAACTTATTTGTAATGTATTGGGTTACAATTATTTTAAAATAATTTAAAATGATGTAACTGAGAAACTTATCGTACAAGTTAAAAGCGGAACACCAAATGTTATAAAGCGGAACTGAAAAAGTTATCAATGCAGTAACATAATAGGTCACATCTAAAATGAGCTAAAATGTTTCACTTTTGGTACGTTTTAGTATTTGAACTTTTAATTTTTACAAAATCATACCTAAATTTTAATTTTAATTTTATTTTAATATATGTCGTTAAAACTTAACAACAGAGTTGACATGACATGTTGTGATAATCTTTTTAGTATTTTCTAAACTTTCATGTCAGCAATTAAATATTAATTTATTATTTTTATTCAGCCAATAGGGCAATAACACATGTTATCGCACTATTGAAATAAAATTAATGCTAATTCCTACGCCATGCCCTCCTAGAGAAGAAGAGAAAGCTCGGCCACTAGGCTAAGTAAGGTAATTGTTACCTTTTCACCACAAAATATATATATAAAGTATACTCCATTATCACCACAAAATAAGATATTTTAATTAAACTACGACTCAAACTTTGGTCTTCTTTTTAAGAAAAATTAGTATTCAACCATTAAATTAGTATATAAAATTGGCCATATATAATCAATTTTATATTTAATTTATATAATTGTTTAATTAAAAACTAAAATATTAAAAAAATATAAAACACTTTTTAGTATAAAACTATATAAAATATTAAATCATTAAAAACACTATTTTTTAACTTCATAAATCCTTTATTAATTTAATATTAATTAAATAAATATAAATTTTACGTTATTTTTGATAAAAATATTTTTAATATTTATTTAATTTTAAATTGATCATAAATAAGTATTTTAAATTTAATTTTTAAAATAGTTTAATATTATTTTTAAAAACATATGTTTAATTGTTTTTATTCCAAAAAAGTAAAAATAATTTAATTTTTAATTAAGCAATTTGGTTTATACTAAAAAAATTATTTTATATTTTTAAATAAATTAATATTTTAATCTTTAATTAAACAATTATATAAATCAAGTATAAAATTAATTATATTTAACCAATTTCATATACTAACTGAATGGTTGAGCACTAATTTTTCTTGGGGAGAAGTCCTAAGTTTGAGTCCTAGTTTTAATTAAAATATCTTGTTTTGTTGTGGTAATGGAGTATAAGTTAAATATATTTTGTGGTGAAAAGGTAACAATTACCTTGCCTAGGCCAATGGTCAAGCTTCTTCTTCTTTAGGAGGGTATGTGTTTAGTTCCCACGCCAAGCATATTTAGCGTTAATTTTATTTCAATAGGATAGTGACACGTGCCATCACTTTATTGGTTGAATAAAAATAATAATATAAAAACAATATTTTATTGTTGACGTAGAAGTTTAAAAAATATTAAAAAATTATCACAACATGCCACATTAGCTCTTTCGTCGGTTAAGTTTTTAACGACGTGAGTACTAAAACGAAACAAAAACTAAAAATTAGGTATGATTTTGTAAAAATTGAAAGTTCATGTATTACAACGTATCAAAGTGAAACTTTATGTACTAAATGCGTAATTTACCCTAAATGTTATTAATATTATTAACATTTTAGGTCGCGCCTAAAATATTACCAGAGTTTAAGCTGATGGGGTATTGGATTTTCACACGATAAGAAATTAAGTTAAAAGTTGAAAATGTTATGAGTATATATAATAAATACGATTGCACCTAAAAATGTCATGGTTCATTAAGAAATAGGTTGTGATATGGAATGTTAATATTTTTAATAATAAAATAGATTGCGCCCAATAATGTCATGGTTCACTAAGAAATAGGTTGCAATCTGGAATATTAATATTTTTGTTAATAAAATGGTTTTCTCCCAAGAATGTCATGGTTCGTTAAGAAATATGTTAAGATATGGAATGTCAATATTTTTATTATAAAATGGGTTGCGCACAAGAATGATATGGTTCAGTTAGAAAGCAAGTTACGATCTCTAAAATGAGTATATATAACTTTTTTATTATAAGAATGTTATGAATACATTTCCAAAAGTATCGATATTTTCAAATTTAAAGAAAAACATGTGTTAAATAATATTGTGATATAACAAATTAAGGAAAAATGTTTTTGGACTTGATTGAATTTATTCAAAGCTTTTCAAAAGTTTTCAAAAAATAATTCAAAGCCCATTAAAAGTGAATTTGAGCATAAAACTGATTTTCAACGTACGTAGTATCGATACTATTCTTACAGTATTAATACTATATGAATAGTACCGATACTATTCATATGGTACCGATACCAAAGGTAAAAGAAGTATCGATACTCTCAAGGTAGTATCGATACTACCAACTTGCTCAAAATTCTATAATACAAAAATGGTATCGATACCCAAAAGGGTACAAATACTACTTTACATAGTAGTATCGATACCATAGGCTTAATATCGATACCATAGGCTTAGAATTGATACCATCAGACCTAATGACTAGTAAAAATTAATTTTATTTAAATATTACAAAGGCAGTACCGATACTCCCTATAGGAGTACCGATACCCTATGTACTGGGTATCTCTATTTTCTAGAGAAATCATCCCCAAACGGCTTCAAATCACTCCCTTAACGGCTAGAAATGGCCACAAACTCATTCTAACATATAAATACAAGTTCAAGACACATGAAGAAGGGTTAGAACACCTATCAAACAATCAAACACAAGATAAGAACTTTTCATTCTTATTTTTCTTTCTCTTGTAAATATTAGTGTTTGTGTGAGCTTAATTTTGTAAACATCCTACCTTTAAGAGGTTTTATTGTTTACTTTTTTTTACCTTTCGTAAAAGGGATTGGTTCTAGTTTAGCCAAGTGAAAAACTAGAGAGTTTATAAAGGCTACTCTTGATCCTTGAAAAAGAAAGAACAAATTAGTGGATTTGTTAGAAAATCCTTAGTGAGGTGCTAAGGTGTGGAGGTAGACTTAGTTGAGAAGTCGAACCACAATAAATCGATGTGCAAATTTGTCTATTTTTCTTTCTCCTTACTCCCTAAACTCAATTTACCAATTCACCCCTCTTGATAATATTTTCGTTGTCAATTTGAGCTTCCTAAATCCTAAGAATTGGTATCAGAGCTTGAATAATTAGAAGGTTTAACAACCCTGAGACAATCTTCGAAGAAGCTCTACCGATTTCTGACTTAACCGACAAGAAGATGGCTCCAACCTCCAGCTCTTACTGCATTGAAGACTCTTAACCGGTTAACAAGCCACCTTACTTCAATGGAGCAAATTATATTTATTGGAAGAATAAGATGATGCTCTTCATTCAAGCCAATGATCTAGTAGCTTGGAACTCAATCATAAAGGGATACTCCATTCCACCGAGTGATAAGGATGATTGGAGTGATAGAGAGAAGAAGAAGTTCTAACTCAATGCTAAGGCTATGCACATTCTATGTTGTACATTAGGCCCAAATGAATATGGAAGAGTCTCATCTTGTTCCAATGCCAAAGAGATATGGGACAAGCTTTAAGTCACTCACGAAGGAATCGATGAAATGAGGGAAACCAAGATAAGTCTTCTCAACCATAAATACAAACATTTCAAGATGAAGACATCAAAACTATGATGGATAGATTTTTCGTGATTGTCAACTGTCTCAAGGGATTTGGAGAAGTAATCCCTAATGAGAAGCTTGTGAGGAAGATAATCTAATCTCTTCCAAATTCTTGGCAATCGAAGAAGACGACGATCATTAAGGCTAAGAACCTAAAGTCGCTCACTCTTGATGAGCTTATTGGTTCTCTTCCCACTCATGAGTTGATGGTGAACGAAGAAGAAGATGATGAAAAGAAGAATAAGAAGAAGGAGGTAGACATTGCCTTTAAATCCACCAATGAGAATAATCAAGAACCAAATGAAGAGGTGGAAGAAGATGATGATAAAGATGAAGAGATGACCAATCTCTTCAAAAGATT